TTTTCACGAGGCAGTTAGCAACGTGTTTTTAAGATACTTTGAGGCTCTAAAAGGTGATTAGTATGTAGCGGGTATGCTTTAAATACAATCAACAGTGGCCTTCTAGAGTGGAATCTGCTTGGATATAGATGTAAAAGCTCCACCGGGCAAACGGAAATGTGTATCAGGAAAGTTTCAATTATTCATACGATTCAAATCCTGTTTCGTTTAACGATTGATTTTTACACGTAACCATCTCGGCCACGTTCGCCTTCCTAAATTTTAAGTGATTTAGTCGCAATAACGTTATTATGCCGCACATTTGTGGTTTGCGATTGTTGGTTAATATAATGTGTGTATGTTGCAATAATGAATTGCAGGCATGGTTGTCAATAATGAAGTAATTATCCAGTCACATCGCTGGCCGGTGTTGGTCCGGTTTTAAGGCAATCCAAACAAGATTTCCTTTGGCCCTCACCGCAAACCCGAGCTCGGTAAGCTTACATCAAATTATAGAAAATGTATGTGTTTGTGAACATATTCGTTAAATGTAACACCGGCGTTGTTCTAACCACGTAGCTGTAAGCACCACGCTATAAACCTGTATTGAACTTAGAGCCGAAATTCACCCGAACACCGTTACTCCGATTACATAGCTTGCGATTGCATAAACTAGGGTGTGCATAGTCGGACCCAGGAATTTTCAAGGCGGATGTAGGGGTGTGGGGGAATTTGAACCCCCTGAATCCCCCTTGACGCCGCCAATGCAAAACAATAACCTCAATGTGGTCTTTAGACATTTTCAAAAAGGGAGGAGGGTGAGGGGTCGAACCCCTGGTCAACTTCACCACCCCAACACACCCAACACATTGGTTCCGCCAATGGTGTATGTCGTGCACTTCGAGTTAACATAACGTATCAGGTGAAGCTCACCCAATTATCCCCTGGACTATCATCGTGTCGGGTCCCGTTCACCACAGTGATCTCACATTGTAATAGCTCCCATGTCCCACCGTAGCCATAAAACTGCTTAGTGATAGAATACAGTATTAAGTCGCATTAACAGTATTCCAGCAATATTACTGATTGTACGAGATAAACCAATAAACAGAATCGAGGTCTTCAACATCATCTCCTCGCCTAACACCTATTTGAAAGTAAAGGATTATCTATTAAATATGAAACCTTGAATAATCAGACAAACAGCATATATTTGAGGCAGAATAGAGCAACTATACTCTTTAAAAAAGTAGAGGAACCTGAACTTTCAGTTTGGATAGGAAGTATAAGCGTTTAAAACTCTCAAAGACGCACCACCATTGCCATTTATCACCACCCTAAACACAATATACATTTCCACAATGGCGACAGGTTAACACAAATTTACATTTTATATAAATACTTGTCCTATAATCATTCATGATGATTTTACCAAAAATACTCAATTTCCTTAAAACGCACAGTTTACAATTCTGCAGTAATTCACAACATTTAACAGTATTCGGATGCTGGTAGTAATACATTTCTAGATATTGTTTTCTTTGTACATTAAAATAAGGACATTTTAGTACAGCATGATATTCATCACCTGGACTAACATTACCAAAAATACATTTCATTTAATGAAGTACCATTCCAACGACGATGATCACTAGTTCGGTGTATAAGATATGTTTTGGAAGTACATCAAGGTATTATTCAAAGCAAAATTTCGTTTTAAAAATTCTGTAAGCTTTAGATGAATTATTAGTATCCGTGAACCAATTTTGTACATACTGATCCTCTAATACTTTCTTGATAATGCATTTGATAGATTCGGGAGAACAATTCATAATTTTGTTTCTGCCATATATATGAATAACGTTAAGCAGTTTGATTTTTGATAATCACCGGCATATAACAGTAATAACCAAACAACTACTGTTTCTATACACACATTAAGAGCATTGGAATTAAGATGAATACCTTTATAGGACTGGACAAACACCTATGGTCGTAAGGAAGTGCAAGTGGTGATGCAGTATCAAAACATTCATTATTACCATATCAAAGCTGATTGACTCCGATATATCTCTTAATATTTTCAATCATAAATTAAAAATAAAGTGCCCTATATGTTTTTAGGGTATTTTTAATGCATGTTGTTATAATCCACATCACTGCACCTGTTTTACAACAGCATGCCAGTAAGTGGGCATGTTCCAGGAAAACAAAAGGTGAACAGATGACACCCTACCCTTAAAAAATCCAAACAACGTACGAGATCCCACATAGATCTATCATACGTAACAAGAAATGCCCAGCTATACACATGTACAAAAGTATCGCAACACCTATTATTTTATATGATTCATATAGTCATATCAGAATCATGTACGTATGACTATTCGGACCCTTCTGCGCACAATACATTGATTGTAGATACACGTGCAAAACGTGTACCAGTCATGAAGCAAATATCAAGTCAAACCGAAACATCAGTCTCATTAACCTATTCAGACAATGACCTACTTTTCAGACGATCCGAATTTTCTCGTGTGAAAGTGAAAATAGACATCACAAACAACTATGGTTACACTGAATTCCAATTCCTTGTTTCATAAGAAAATGGTATTTACAAATGAATTATAACTTTAAACTGTAATAACATCGTATATCTATATTTTATGGCGAGGTGTAGGCAGCACGACCTTAACTAAGACTGCCCCTGTTTGATGAGGTCGTAAAATGATTCACAATGCATCTGGCTCACTGGTTCAGTGTAATTCTGTAACGCACAATGTGATTGATATAATATCAAATCCGTACCAGACCGCCAAACGTTTCTAGCGGGAGAGCCTCGTTTTGAGATTTCCACGATTTCCAGGTTTCCTTTTGTCAGAACTCGCTGTACGACGTGTTTGCAAGGATTAGAAGGAGCGTAGTGTTCTTACAGCTCGATAACGTGGATAGTTGGAATCAGTTGATTTCGTTGTTGATAAGCAAATATGTAGCGTCCTCAACTGATAACTGCTCAGAGATGCCAAGTTAGCGTAGAGCTTCTTTGGGACATTATGGGTTGCATTATATGCCACAGAAATCCTTTTGAAACTCATGAATTATCGGAACAAGTCCTATATCGTATACAGTCAGTGAGGATTACAATGTTTGCGTTTAGATTTGCCATTAATTATTCCCTGAATGTCCATGTAAGTAAGTGAGGTTTGGATGAGTTGCTTTGTTGTGGTTAATGGTAACATATTGATACCATGAAAAATATGGAGTGTTGCGATACTTTTTCCATGTGTATATATACATGTATCACGTGTATATATTGTTTCAAAGATTGTTTTCTCTCATTTGACGGAGATACATTTTGGACTTGTTTCAGAGTATTGAATATGGCCGACGCTGCAGTAATGGAAGTCGTTTGCCTTCATCAAGAAGGAGAGAGGCACTATAATCAAGGCAATGTAAAGAAAGCCATTGGCTCTTTCCAAAAGGCACTGGAAAAGGCGAAATCGATAAACGAAAGACACTATGAAAACATTTGTAGTTATAATTTGGCAAGTGTGTACGCCGCGAACGGAAACAAAGAGGAGTTTGAGCAGATACTGCAAAACTTGCCAAACCAGTTTATTGACGACATGTTGCAAGAAGGGGGAAACAGCATACTTTATCTACGAGCAGTTGCAAACAGATCCCCCTGGCACTATGAACAGGCTTTAAAAGTTCCCAACGATTTCAAGAACCAAACTTATCTGCTTGAACAGCTTGTAAAACTGCACAGGGGAAAACAAGACAAATGTATGCAGACTAAGTACCTGGAGCAACTTAAAGAAGCGTATCAAGTCCAGCGGAACGACATGAGACGTTTCAAGGTGATATGTCAATTGGCTAGGCTTTACATCCGGGACAATAGAACAGAAGATGCAGAAAAGGTCCTGCGGGAATTGAAGAAGGAAGTTGGTGAGACCAGATTTTATTTGTGTTTTGAGTGGATGTTGTTTTACGACACAGTCTGCAATATTACAGCAAAATCACAGCGATGACTGTATCCAATGTAAATAACAAACACACACACGTCGCTCTCTCTCTCTCTCTGTCTCTGTGTCTCTCTCTCACACACACACACACGCGCGCGCGCACTTGCACGCACACATCACGAGAGAGAGACAGAGGGAGAGTGACAGAGAGAGAGAGAGAGACAGACAGACAGACAGAGAGAGAGACAGAACTATAACCACCAATCCGCAAACCCATTATAATCCTCAGCCTTATAATCCTACCCAAACTTAACATCCCTCTTTCTTCTGCAGCTGATTACACCACGTTGCCATCAGGAAATATATCGTTGGGTGCAAGGTCGCTGAGAACGGAGGTACAGGAGACGAGATGTCTGGGTGAGTTGTCTCTTACACTAGTCTGTCACATCGTCATGTAGGGAAGGGACTTGGGCAGAGAGACAAGGAGTCAATGTAGTTTGACTGTGAGTGGTGATTAACGAATAGGCTCTCTTGTGAGTGTTACAGAAGACAATGGCGCAGACGGGCTTAAAGTTATGTCTTCGAGCGTATTGTCGAACTGCGCGTCTATCGATGTGATAAATTTATGAAATTATGTTTCCTTCACTGTTATGACTTAGAAAAAGCTTCATATTTACAAAGACTGAAAACAAAGAAGCTTGACTGTTGGCCGATGTATACAAATGTAGTTTACCAAGTGTTGATAATTATTTGTGTACACATTTCTCTGGCACTTGCACTTCTCTCATGGACGTTGTGAAGCAGGTTAGTTCAAGTTAAGGACACAGGAAGCTCCATTCGCATACTGCATAACATCGATAGTCTTTCTTTCTTTACATCTGGCAAGTCGTTGTTGTAGTGCTTCATACGTTTCAGTCAATGACTTGTTAGCTACTGTTTCAGTGCCACTGTGGAATGAGATGGGGCTGATGTTCACGTTCCTGACAAAGTACCAGAAAGCTTTGGAATGCTTTGAGAAAGGACTGAAATCTATCACCAACAAGACACGAGCATCTATAAACACTGCTGTGTTGAAACAGAACATTGGTGCGGTACAAAACATGAAGGAAGACTTTGAGCTTGCCATAGAATCCCACTCAGACGCCATTAAAACATTTGGTATGTATGTTGTGTTTCTTCATGTCAGTCGTCCACGACTTATAAAAGGTTACTGTTCATGTCCGTCTATTGTCGCTTCAACTCAAAAAGCTTCAAAATCCAGTCCATATTTGTCTGAAAATCCCAAAAGCATGGGTTTCTTTCATTATCCAAAGTCATAGGAAGTAGATAAATCCGACCCAAATACTGAGTAATGACTCATTTAACATAGCAGAAGAATTATCTTTCGTGAAATTAATTTAGACAGTTTTCTGAATATATACAGTTGACAAAGTAGATACAAAGTAGATAACATTCGACGGAGAAGAAAACCCTCACTCGCTCTTTCCGCTGCAGATGATTACGCCAATGCAATTAAAGGAAGTAACACGGGGCAAGAAGCTGCCGGGAAGGGAGAAATTGGAGAACACTTGCACGGGTGAGTTACTTTAAAACAGAAGCAGCGAAACCAATCGCTTTTTATAGTTATTTAATGCTAAACAACTTCTATTTTAGCTTATACTTGTCTCTCACATTCTAGTAAAGAATAGGACTGACAGGTACGAAATCAATTTGTTGATATGATTTCCCAGAAGAAGTTACATATAACCCAGAGACGTGGACTTGACGTTGTGTATGCAGGCGTCTTTTCCTGTTGCAGCGTGAAGTCCCTGACAATTTTCATAAATTGTGGAGGCGAGATACGTCCATGAATGACATACAAATATTTGCTTCACTAAAACAGCTGAAAAAATAGTATCATTGATACCTTCATTATCTCAAACTGAATAGTAGAATTCTATATGGGCATTGATAAATGTCAGATGGAGAGTAGAGCGACGTGAGCCTCGATATAGTGGCGCTAACTCTTCTAGGTGTTGTTTGAGTTTATGTTTGTGTTCTTGATACCAATAGGGAGTGATGAGGGACTGATGTACACAATTGAAAACAACAGACGATGGGTGATCTACGGTAAGACCACAGCATCCATACCGAACACTGCCATATCGACACAGAATATTGATGTGATTCTAAACATGAAAAGAGATCTTGCATATCCATAAAACATCACTATAAACGTATTTAAAAGTATAGTATATATGTCATGTATAGGACGTTTGAAAACGGCTACGATATCACGTCTGTCTGTTGTTGCTGAAAGTCGATTAATCAAATCAGGAATTCTGGACATATTAATTTTGAATGACGCATGTTCCAAAAGTATTTTGTTTTTTGTTACAAAAAAAAGACTAAAAATATTTCAAAAGAATAGCTGTGCCAAAGATATACACTCAGATTGATGTAGGTGAGTCCGATAAATGGGCTGACTGATTTAACACAACGGGAAAATTACCTTCCGTGAATCAGTTTAGACAGAGCTTAGACACTATTGACAGAGGCACTGAAGGAAGATCAAGCAGCCTGTGCTGGCGCTGCTCGTAGCTTCCTCAACATGGGAAACGCCCACATCAAGCTGGGGGACATAATGGATGCCCACGACACGTTCTCACAAGCGTACGTGTATGCAGAAAAAGGTAAACACAATACTATTAGGATTACGCATACTCTGAGTTGTAATTTACTTCAAACTTTTCCATCAGTTCTTGTTAACCGAATTCCTTGTTTCAATTCTTCCTCTTAAACAGTAAAATTCCTTACTTTCGGTTCACTCCTCAATACCATAATCCACATCATGGAGTTAAAATTTTACGTCGCATCGGCAATATTTCAGCCATATTGAGACGAGGTAATAGACGTGTCGCCTAGAGGATTGACTTCCGTTTGGCCATATGTTCCCCAAACACGTGTGACTAGCGTAAAGCTGCGTTGAACAACATTCCCTCATTCATTAGTTTTGATCTGTATCAACAGCGTATCAGGGGCGGTAGGGTAGCCTAGTGGTTACATCGTTCGCACGTCACGCCGAAGACCCGGGTTTAAATCCCCACATGTGTACAATTTGTGAAGCCTATTTCTGATATTGCTGGAATATTGCTAAAAGCAACCTTACACTAAACTCACTCTTACTTTCTCAGGACAGGACACACGCACCATGATGCAGGCGTATGAAGCGCTGGCAAGTATTGCCATGCGATGCCGCGAGTCGCGTGCAGCCAGGGAGTACCTGGTGACAGCGATGAAACTCGCCTTCTCTATTAAGGGCTGGAGAGGTGATGAAGGTCAGGGTCAACATGACACCTACGACGTCCAGCGCATTACAGACAAGCTGTCCAAACTACCTGTGACCATGAGCGCAGAAAGGGTATGTTGGTAGTGAATCTGGTGAATGAAACATAGTTTTCAACAGTATTACATAGTGGTGGAGAAAGGTTCTGAGATAATTATATAATTATAATGAAGTATTCCTTTCCATTAGAGCTGTGTTCGGAGGTCAGCACCTGCACCTGTGAACATACAGAAGCGTCCAGCCTCGTCCTAATTTATTGTGCTGTGAAGCAGTTCGAGTCGGGGGTCATCTCCAAATCTTTTTGGTTTTTTTAATCTTTAATCCTCGCAAAGACACGAGGGCCTGTGCCCGTGAATACTTCTCGGGTTGAGTTGACTAGCAATTTATTACAGACTTGAGTAAAGCAAGCTATCCCCAAGGGAGGTCAATACATTCCAGAGACCTCAAAATCCATTCGTAAGGTACAAATTCGTAGGCATTTCTATAGTATGTCCAGCACACAGAGAGCTTACGGTGGTAATATTGTTATAACATCGTTTCATATATACACGTAATATGTATCCTATATTATATGTAAGGACATGACAAATGTACGTCCCAGTGTGACCTCAGTTTGTCATAAGCATTATCTTTACTCAACAGTCAATTAACTTTACAATCAGAATCTAACAACATAAACGGTTCATAGAATGATTCATATTCTTTGTTTTATTTGCATGAAACATCAAGAAAATTATAGCTGTTTAAATACGCGTCTCTTTTGATATGAAAATAAATCGGAAAAAGTTACTCAATGGTATTTGGCCTGTACGTCATCAGAATGTGAATATGCAAATACATATTTATAATAGTTTCAGGAAGACTTCAACAAGACTACCAGCCATTGGTCAACTCTCCGCAAAAGGTAAAAGCAAAACATTCAGTAACAGAGCCGATCTGAACTGACATTCTAGCACCACTCTGTGGTATTCATTACTGCTTGATTACTGACCACGATCGATCTTCAACGGAAATCAAAGGACCCCAAATTTAATTTCTAAGCGCAATACGAATTGACACGATAAAAGAACAGGGAAAACGCCATGAAAATTTTTATATTGAATGTAACATCAAGTTATAAATAGTAATAGTACGTTTTGATCAGCAGTTCCTCACACATTTTATTTTGTTTTCAAATTCTGATGCATACTTAATGTACCACACGCCTCTTATCCAATTAGTCGGTTGCAGCATAAATACCAGTCATCATACATGTATATTGAACAGCAAAAGAAACGCAAGTCTGGCTTTTTGTCAAGTTTTTTGATAGAAGACAACCAAAATCATGTCTAATCCTTTATTCTATAGAAAACACTGTCAATTTAACAGCTATAAGTTGCTGATGACACTGAATTGCAATAAGTTCAAACGGAGATACCCTTGAACGCGAAAAGTGACAGTCTCTTTAGTAGCGCGTATAGCCACCTTTAGCTTGCACACAGGCCGTGCAACGTGGCCTCATTGAGTTCACGAGTGTCTGAAAGAATGCCTGAGGCAATTGGTTTCGCTCAAACACCAATCTCTATTCCAATTGTGCAAGTGTGAGTGGCTGCCTACCTGCAGCAATCCTCCGTCCAGTTTCGTCTCAGAATGTTCAATGGGATCCATATCCGGGGATAGAGACGGCCATGGAAGAACGTTAATGTTGTTCTGAGCCAGATAATCCATCGACACCCCTGCTGTGTGAGAGCTGCAAACGTCGCTGGCGTTGTTGACGTGCCAACATTGGCCCCACATATTGCCTTCGGCAGTGGATTCCAGCATCCCGAAGACGACGCCTAATCGTATCGCTTGGCACTGCTCCCATTGACCCAAGAACCAAGGCTGCTGTTACTGTTGCTGCTTGAGTTCGGTTCCTTAGATGAGTGACCCGGGTGAACCGATCTTGCGCATGAGTTGTCACTCGTTGCCGTCCGGTACGGGGACGATCAGCAGCAACCCCGGTTTGATGATGACGTTGAGCAAATTGTGTTATGGTGGTAAGATGACAGCCCAATTGTCTAGCTACAGCGGTTGCAGGGCTACCTCCGTGCAACTTTCCAATGGCCATTCCCCTCTGCTCAGTCGTTTGTCTAGGCATCGTTTGCCTGTATGTTAAGAATTAACACAGAAAATGTGTTTAAAATCAAATATGTTTTTGATGACAAAAAATTGAATTTAACCTCACAATCATTCCATGTAGATGTGTATGCATTTACTTCTATTTTTACAATTTAAAAGATGATACTTATATGTACAATGACTGAAAAAATTATTAAAGTACACATGAACCATCATAAAATATCAGATAAAATTCACGACGAAATTCACACGTTGTACATAACAATACTTTCACATGCCTCTCAAGAACCTCTAATACTTTCACATTTCGCGCACCGCATCAACTCCCGGCCGTACTGAATCACATGAATGCAGCCTAATCGGCGTAATACGATATAGACGTGAGTACATATGCAATGAAAATACACTGCAGGCTTAAAAGTGTGATATTATGTCGTGCCAGACTTAAATTACCGATTGCAAAGCGTCAAGAAAACGACAAAACATGACCTGAAAACGATCAGCTGATTCCACCGCTTCGCTCCGAATGGCCATTTCGCGATTCATTATTGCAATATAAGCAGTCATGGCTATCCCCGGTGTATCGTGGAATCACGGAACAGGTATTTCAGGACATAACACTTGATATATGATCGGTCAAGGGGAAAATATATACTGTCCATATGCACCAGCGTGAACGTTATGGCGAAGACTTTTCAAAATATTATATATTTTTTTGGAGTTTGACACATTTTTTCGTTTGATCGGGCTGAAGTTATTGCTGTCGGCGACATTTGTATTTTTTTCGGAAGGAAAATTTGGTAGGTCGGGAGATGAGAAACACAGAAAAAAAATACGGACGGTCTAACCTCCACGAGGTGTTTGAAGACGGATTGGACTAAAACTGGTTCGATGACAACAACTTGATTCAACTGATGTGAATGAAATTCTTAACTGCGGTCTTAGTAAACTGTACACAAGCTACTGTGTTTGCTCAACATGGGTTTCACTCTTGTCAAAGACTGGCGCTACGGCTAGCGAAATTGTCGAAATTACCCGACCCAAAGTTAACAGTTACAGCGGAATATTGCAAAGTTTTCAGAGATGTCTTAGGTCAAAACACTACTATTCATCCCTGATTATTTGAAAAGCTCTTGTTCAGTTGGACACTTCGCATGAGACTTGTCAGCCACATTTGAAACTTTACTGTTGTTTGGTGAACTTTCTCTCGTAACCTGATTTACCAGTCTTCCTTGGTCTGTATTTAGAGCTTCTGGTCTCCGACTCTTCATATAATACGATTTCAACATGAAGTGTGTCAACAAATAGAATGGAATATCATCCCCGGACCACCGCAGTATCTTTAGTGTCAGTGTTGGTCTCCGTGAAAACAAGCCGGCTTTGGCGACAAGAGTTGTCTTCCCTCAATAGTGAACGTAACGTCTTCATTGTCACACGGGAGGTCGCTGTTGCATAACATCGCTTTTGGGGGGGCTCCGGTCTATGGTGGGACATCAAACATTCACTTTTAACAAAACATGAAGATTCCCCACGTGCAAAGAAATAACAAATAATCCTCCCATGACGCGTACGATGACCGTATTTGTTTTGTTGTTTCAGTACAAGCAGGAGGACGTTGATTACCCCTACATTGCCAGCATTATCAAATCACCGTGCTGACAAAGGTTTGAGTTGTTATGTGCAGATGTAACGGGGGAGAACCTGATACGCCTCAATGAATGTAGAGAAAATACAGTGCAGTGTGATTTGGGGGCGTTGTTCTAAATACATCTTCACATATTTGTACCAAGACGTGATTTAAATATCATTTGTCATTATGTTATATTTACTAAGCTGGTAAATAACGTTGTTTGTAGATCACGGTATTCCGACTATAACCTAATCCTATACAGCAACACAGATCATTTACCAACAACACGACGACAATCAGACAGGACACACATTTTGACCCCCAATCCACATTCCAGTCCACGAAATACATGTATATGGTCAACTCGGGATCCGTCTCCAAGGTCGGAGAGCTGAAGGTCGATGGTTTAATCCCTGACTGCCTCATACCATAAGATGTGATGAGATGGGATACTTTAGAGAAATCCCAGTATGGTGCCTCAGTAGCCCAGCACTCTAAAAGCGGTTTGTGTCCGTACTGGCACAATCACACGCACACTCTCACACGCGCGCACACACACGCAATGATCTTGAAGGCGACGTTAAGCCCTATTGGAACAAAGCTGTGACCAGGAAAAACCTCAAAGCCTTAGTAATTACACTCATGTAAATGTACCTCAGTACAACCATGACACTAAATACAATATTTAGGGTCCATTGTCTCACCACTTTGACACAGCCCTTTACGGTTTTCTGTATATGTTTACAGGACAAGGTCCATCCGGAAGAAAATGAACGTGGCCTCACTCACTCATCGTAAGGTACTGTAATGATTTTCATATGATATAAACCTTTTACACGGCATTCACCTCGTTTCTAACACTCTTAAAATAGAAACATGAAACCTTCTTACACTTTATTTCATGTTCATTCACTTTCTCTGTTAATTTCATATTTGAAGACGATAGTGACAAATAAGGACACCGTGGAAAGGGAGAGGGAACCGAAGAGCAAACAAGTTGACGAAGAGGAATAGAAGAAGGCGTGTAATTTTAGCAAATATGAAGTAGAACGAGAAGAATCCACCACCTAGTTCTATTCGTCAGGATACATTTGTATACATACTGTCATACCTGCTTGAATCCTAATAATCTGTTGTCTGTCATAAGACTCGTCTTAAAGCTTACCTTTCGTTATTTGAACATTTTATTGGTATGCATCATAGGGCATCTGAAATGGTTCATGATATAGCTTATAGTCTTCTATTAGGTGTACTGTTGCTTAGAAAGTAAAGTTGAGATGATCATTAAACCTCTTTTTGTATCGTTTTCGTGTTGATGAAATTGTGTCTGATTTTGATTGGAAGGGAAGCTTAACAATGTAATAATTATGGTACTAACAAAATCTATGCTTTACAGATTTATTGGAAAAAGGTTAAACCCCTTTTTTACTTGTTTGAAACGAAATACTTAAACCTGAAACTACAAATTTATTGCTTGTTAAAATTGTAATTATGTACGTTTCCATGTCTTCTGGACTGCTCCGCATATGTTATTTATAAATACTGAACAAAAATGTGATAAAATAATATATAATAGATGCAAATACTACTATATGCACATTTTATGTGTGACATTGAAATGTAAAATGTTATGTGAAATAAAAAAATATATATAAATATTCAGAATGGCGATTCTTCCCAGAGAAGGTTTTCTTATAGTCAACTTCTCCCTCAATATCGAACAATATTCCACTAGCTAGGAAGTCTATATTCCACATTTTGTAGGTTTTCTAGCAGATGTTTCTAAAGACCATCAATTCAAGTCACTTATATTTACTACATTAGCGAACCACACAAGTATGGAAACGCCTGCAGACCAGGCATCCTAAACTGGATAAGTCTCAGGTTCGAACCCGACCAGCTGCGGATCCTGGCATGACACGGGTGATGGTGGGGTGTGATTCGGGACAAATGTCTAATACACATGTACATAACTTACGACAGAAACTAGTGTCAGGTTTCGTTATTGCATGGTAGTGATGGATGTAACTGGCATATATTAGGCTACTGAATGCCTGCGCGAATATTGCAGCAAATACACACACACACACACACACACACACACACACACACACGGTATGTCAGCGACACATTAACTTCATACATCAAGCAAAATTGCTATTTGTATCATATAGTTATTATCATATTATATTTGATGAAACACCATATGGCTACGGACACCTGTACAAATTCACACTTATGAATGAGAATGGTTTTACGACGCATTTAGCTATATTCCAGCAATATCACGGCGGTGGACACCAGAAATGGGCTTCACACATAGTAGGCCCTACCCATGTGGGAATCGAACCCGGGTCTTCTGTGTGACGAGCGAACGCTTTAACCACCAGGCTACACCACCGCCCCCAGCAGTTAATTACACCAGAGACCATATAATAGATTATATTTTAGATTAGATTACACTTACCTGCACTGGCCGTAATTAATGAGAAGACGTGTAATTAGTGTATAAGTACAGTCCGGTAACTGTATCTCTATGAACAGTTTGTCCCTTTCTGGCCCAGCAAAGATGAGTAAATTAACCGAAACAAAGATATATGAGACTACCGCATTCGAAAAGAGAGAGATTGCAAGATACAAGGAAGAACATCCAAAAGCAAGTTTAGATTTAAATTTCCTAAGTAAACACTTTGGTGAATTATTTGGGCACTCAGTGGGAAAATCTACAATCGGTCTCGAGCAAGAAACGCCAAACATCAGAAAATGGATGAGGAAGGTTAAAAATACACAAACAACTATGAAAGACTTTTTGCTGTAACTATAATTTATTGTTGTGCTTGCTATTCATCGTTTTATAAGCTTTACATTAAATGCTTATTTGTTTTATCCAGAGCCGTGTCGTTTTTGTAATAGTAAGGGAAGCAACTCTTGCTTGAACTTGGGTCTTGATTCAGTAGTCCGGACGATTCGAAATCCGGGCGAATTTGCTGAGAAACGCAACCGTCCGGATTAACGAGGCTTCACTGTATGTATGTATACATGCTACAGGTGATGGAAACGTAGTTTCCTCGTTCAACGTCCCTGTATGTAAATGTTATGATAATCTGAGGCCCATGTTACCCAGAGGGAAAGAATTTCTGTATACCAGCGCAAGAAAGATTCAGGCAAATAAAAGGCATCAAACCAACTATTTCCGACCCAGACTACTTCATACGCGACTCCAGCTACTGTATTAAATATGGCCAGGCCAAAACTGCTCTTCAGACTTGTATTAACTTGTCATGGTTATGAATAGCCCAGACATCATTGTGATGGTATGTGAACTCAAAGTTTGATGATATCGATATGGATTTAGCCAAAGCCATACCTTTAATGATTCGTTTCGTTATGTGACGCTAGGCGTGATGAATTGTCGTCTGAAGATGAAGAGTACGTGTGTTGCCGAACATATTAAGGAAAGCAGGGGGTCATAACGATTTTTATTACGTACGAGGGCGAAAATATCGGGGTTCATATTTTTCATACGATGCCCTCGGGCAAAATATCACTTTGACATGGTGACAATGCTATGACGTCACGTTTCTTCTGTGATGTTGCGTTCTACATGCGGCGACGGCGGGAAGCCAGCCTATGTTTGAAAGCAGATTTAGGGGATAACTGTGCTGTGTTTGACGAATTGGGGACGTATACCGGTGGTTATATAGCCGCGATTTTAGTCGCCGATATAACGTTAAATTTGCGGCTATATAAACACCGGTATATGTCCCCAGTTCGCCAAACACAGTACAGTTATCCCCATTCTAATTCAACTCGTTTTACGCTTTTTTATCATGACAGAAATCCATTATTTAAACCAGATCAAAGTTCCTCTAGGTCAAAGGTTAATCATATCACTCCTTGAACTTACACCATCGCAAGAAAAAGTAGCTCCATTTTCACATTTCAACACGTTTATTATGTGCACACTGACTAAATCTGACAATGATGAATAAATCATAGTGTTATAACTAAAATGGACAGAATTATCATGAAACCGCCCTCTAGTTATCAGAAATGAGCGGGCCGCTGCAAATGATAATGACCCGCTGATTCCTCAACGACGGGCCATTATCAGTTTTGTTGTCAAATGACGTCACAGCAGGTGACGTCACGCTCCATAATGACGTCGTAAATCTTGTTTCATGATCTAACAGTGTTGGGTCAATAGTCCGTTGCGAGTAAATTGTTTCAACTTACAATTAAATTTATGATACTGTTTTGTCTTTTTTAACACAAATTCCATCTTGTTTAGAGTGATAGGGGAGTTAATTGACCTAAGGCTTCTGCAAATCACAATGCCCCGAAAAACATCGTTACCCCCAATAGTGTATGGACACATTCATAGGTTTTGGTGAATCGGCTTCCAAATTGCTGATTATACGGTCGGAAATCTATAGCATTGACCAATCAGAACTCGTGTTACATACTATGTTGAATTAGAATTGGATTTATTTTCCTCAATTTGACGACTTCGGTAATAAACAGAATATCATATTCGTGCCCATATCATACTATGTTTACGACACTCGTGCCTAAATATCGGTATATCCCTCGCTCTCGCTCGGGAAATACCAACATTTAGGCACTCGTGTCGTAAACATAGTATGACATGGGCACTCATATATAATATCCTCTATATTTCTTGTTTGAAAAGCAGTGTCAGTATTCTTGTTGATGCTCTGTGAAAAGTTCCAGATAAACCTCGATACGGTTATACGTACTCATTTAAACTTCTTTTAATTCGCCGAAAATACAAATATTTTGTTTTTGACAATGTTGACACCAAAAACTTTAGCGGTATCTTAAATGATGAAATCGGAAGAGTATTTGAAGCAGAGACCATATATAATAGATCTATTATATGGTCTCTGCTTGAAGGAAATCGCTCATTCACTCGAGCTGTCAGGTTGTTTTTAATTAAGTAGTGTGTCTTCCACTGTAAATTAAACAAACGCAAACTGTCGATCGATAGACGCAGTAGTCAACATGCCCATGTAAGACAGCGTTCGTGATGCGCTTATGATAGAAAGGGCAATTGACCTCTGACCTTTGAAACAGCGTGTGCTATTTTTGGAATCCCACTCACTTCGGACGAACACTGCAAGTGTTCGTATATAGTCACAATATTTGATAGGATCTGAGCATTGTGTGCCCATTACACGGATATGTGGATGTTGGTGTGAATGTTTAAGTCTACGTGAAAGAGCATGTTCACTATGCAATGGAAAACAAGAGGATCTTCAAACTCACCGACTCAGTGACTGATCTAACCAGTCGGGGGCGTCGGCCGACATGGATGAATTTCCGTGTTACAGTCAGTTTGAACGGGATTTTTACAACTTTCTACAGAGACTGAAAAGGTGAAATCATATTTTTTATTTGGTGGACAATTTTCAGATAAATCAAAGGAAGGTATTTTAAAGAATATTTCCACTGCACAGAAACCCGGAAGTGAGTTTGTGCATACTATTCATTTGGCTCCTTGCAGCGATGTTTCGTTACTATCTGTAGTTGTTCATGAACGAGAACGGTACGAATGCATCACGCCCTGTCCGGAGCTTTAATGTCAAATTGACACATGTTGTATTAAGTTTGACGCAAAAGTCAGAAAGTCCCAGTGATTATGGAAATTGTATTTAATTTCTTTTCATAACAGATATAAGCATATTGAAACGCGATTTAGAAAAGTTAAGGAAAGATGTTTCCGCCCCGTTTTTGATCATTCTATGCCTAAGACCAAATGGCTTTTATTAAATAAAACTTAACACTAACCCTTACCCTAATCCTAACCCTAAACCAAACCCTAAGCCTAAAACACTAAACCTAAAACACTAAACCTAACCCTGAAACCTCAAAATAATCCTAATAAGTAGAATACATTTCAAGCTGGGGGTACAGGCGGAACTCTGACCAAAGTTAATTCCATGGGATGAAAACCTCTATGATTGTGGAAATAGTTTTAAATTATTTTGTTACATGTATTAAAGGGGGATCTAGATATCTGAAATATACCAAACATTTGAAGTGTGGTAATTATTTACTAATTGAAGTATGCTATGGTACAGTATGGTATTATATAGTATATAAACCACCAATATTTAAGCCTGAGTTTTGTGCTTACAAGCTATCTGTACTGATTTCTGTTATTGTTGAGCCTGAAGGTTTTCTACACACAAGCCAACCTCTCTATACAGTGGTAAACTGACATGTGATGAAAAGGTTGAAGGTTTTTTTGTAACCTCTCTAAACTGACATCAGTGAAAATGGAGTTCCTCTATGTACAGGACAAATTTTGTAAACTGACACCTTGTGATTGTAAAAGCAGAGATTTTGTGTGCATGTTTGTACATGTAAAGACTTCTTTCAGCAGAGACCATAGTCTCTGCTTTCAGTAAACAGACATACAATGAACTTGGTGAAATGGAGGCTTTATCTACATGGACCAACCTCTGTAAACCAACAACCAGTTGAGGCAGGACTATTTAACATAAAGGTTAAAATTATATCTTCTTAGGCATTGGGTTCCATGTTTGCACGGTAATCTCTGACAACAGATGTATGCTGAAATAAGTCTCAGCTTCAATTATACAGGCCAACCTCTGTAAACCAACAAAAGTTGAAAGGGAGGTTTTTGTGTACAGGCCAGCCTCTTTAAAGGAACATGCATTTAAGTAGAGGTTTACGTACACAGGCCTACGTCTGTAAACTGACATCCTTTTCAGGCAGGGATTCTAAGTACATAAGTTAACCTCTGTCAACCACCATCTGTTGAGGCAGGGGTTCTATGTGTACAGGTTAATACATGTAAACTAACATCCTCTGTTAGCCAGAGGGATTATGTAGACAGACTACCTTTTGAAAATCAGCATCATTAGTCACCTTTCAATAAGGATTCCAGACTGAAAATAGAGAAAGTACCTGTTTTGTAAAACAAGTTGTAACTCCTTCAAGTTGAGACAGCAGATACTATTCGCATATCCTTAAGTCCCATATAACAAGTATTTGTGAAAACATTTAGCTGGATGTTAAAACTGTTGGGAGTTTGTCAAGTGAGTCCGCTTTCCTGGAATACTGAGGTGTTAGTATTTCATAGGCTGCACCTTCTACACACCCAGGTGTTAGTATTTCATAGGCTGCACCTTCTACACACCCAGGTGTTAGTATTTCATAGGCTGCACCTTCTACACACCCAGGTGTTAGTATTTCATAGGCTGCACCTTCTACACACCCAGGTGTTAGTATTTCATAGGCTGCACCTTCTACACACCCGAAACAATCAACATAACAATCAGTATCAGTATAAGCATCCCATGCATGTTGTCAGAGACAACTAGTGGGATCACGTTGTTTGGACCACTGACTTGGTTGTGCATGTGTTTGTATCCCAGTCACTTGATTATCTGGTCCAGTCTTTAGTTACAGACTGACATCATACTGCTAGATTGTTAACATGATTAGGGAGTGCAGTGTTTACCAACAACCAAACAGATCCATGTTCTATATCTGGTGCTAATCATTAGCAATGTGGGCATTTCAGAGAGCAGGAGGATGAGCTGGATGAGCTGGCCCATGCCGGGAGATTGGAGTTGATGAGGGAGAAGCTGGACAGACTGATAGAAGAAGCTGCTGATGATGCATCATTCAAATACCGCCCAGATTCAACCGGCACCGAAATCTCTCTTCTAGAAAAACTACAAACTGTTTCAAAATTACGAAATGACCCTGTGTTCCAAGAAAAAACACCAGAGCCTTTGATTGAACCTAAAGTAAAATGGCACCCACCCCCACATGATAGTCCAGTAGGTGCTGCTGCTCCTGCTGCTGTTGGTGTGGATTACTCTACATCCAGTGATGATGATGACTCTGAACCTGGTTTTAGTTCTCAGGATGTAAACAAGTGTGCGGGAGTTGATGGCGATGTTGTTGCAAGGAAGCAATATAAAGATCTGTCGACACTGGAGAACTCACTAGTCCTTGAAGATTACAGTGACAGCTCAGACTCAGAGTCGGAATATAGGCTAAGTGAAGGTAATTTGACATGTGTGTTCATGTTGAGGAGTTGGTGAGGCGTTACATCACAGTGTGTTACACAATCTGTGTCTGCTGACTCCCCACAAGGATGTAGGTTCCTGACAACACACCCTGCTCTCAGATATCATGACTCAATAAACCACATGACATGACTCAATACACCACATATCATGACTTGATACACCACGGAGCATGACTTGATACACAACATATCATGACTCAATACACCACATGACATGACTCAATACACCACATGCCATGACTCAATACACCACATATCATGACTTGATACACCACGGAGCATGACTTGATACACAACATATCATGACTCAATACACCACATGACATGACTCAATACACCACATATCATGACTCAATACACCACATATCATGACTTGATACACCACGGAGCATGACTTGATACACAACATATCATGACTCAATACACCACATGACATGACTCAATACACCACATATCATGACTTGATACACCACGGAGCATGACTTGATACACAATGACTCATCATGACTCAATACACCACATGCCATGACTCAATACACCACATATCATGACTTGATACACCACGGAGCATGACTTGATACACAACATATCATGACTCAATACACCACATGACATGACTCAATTCACCACATATCATGACTCAATACACCACATGACATGACTCAATACACTACATGACTCAATACACCACATATCATCAGGGCTCCAGATAATTTTTCAACATCAGGAGTACCTACTCCTTATTTTTTAAATATAGGAGTACTGGAAAAACTTTTAGAGTACTGAATTGAATTTAATGGAGTAAGTGATCTTGTGTTTCGTTTCATATATGCACCACAACATTGCTACTCTTGTGTAAACAGGTCAATAAACAATAAAACAATACAATCAGATAAATACGTCTGTAAATGATTTTAAGATTATACACGTATGATACGTATCTGCTACTGTTTCTAAATTATTTCCTACCGTATCGTGCATATTTTTTATCCGTACATACGCCGATACGGCCCTTATCTGGAGCCTTGTAGCATGACTTGATACACAACATAGCATGACTTGATACACAACATAGCATGACTTGATACACAACATAGCATGACTTGATACATGACATGACTTGATACACCAAATGACTTTGTACACCACATATCATGACTGGATACACAACATAGCATGACTTAATACACAACATAGCATGACTTGATATACAACATATCATGACTTGATACATGACATGACTTGATACACCACATGACTTTGTACACCACATATCATGACTGGATACACCACATAACTTGATACATCACCTGACATGACATGATACACCGCATGACTTGATACACCACATGACGTGACACACCACATGAAATGACTTGATACACCACATGACATGACATTATACACTATATGAGATGACTTGATACACCACATGACATGACATTATACACTATATGAGATGATAGTTGATACACCACATGACATGACATGATACACCACATGAGATGACATGATACACCACATGAGATGACTTGATACACCACATGAGATGACATGATACACCACATGAGATGACTTGATACACCACATGACATGGCTCAATACGCCACATATCATGATGTGATACACCACATATCATGATTTGATACACCACATATCATTACTCAATACACCACATATCATGATTTGATACACCACATATCATTACTCAATACACCACATATCATGATGTGATACACCACATATCATGATTTGATACACCACATATCATTACTCAATACACCACATATCATGATTTGATACACCACATATCATTATTTGATACACCACATATCATGATGTGATACACCACATATCATTACTTAATACACCACATATCATGACTCAATACACCACATATCATGATGTGATACACCACATATCATTACTCAATACACCACATGACATGACTTGATACACCACATATCATGATTTGATACACCACATATGATGTGATACACCACATATCATGACTTGATACACCACATATCATGATGTGATACACCACATATCATGATTTGATACACCACATATCATTACTCAATACACCACATATCATGATGTGATACACCACATATGATTTGATACACCACATATCATTACTCAATACACCACATGACATGACTTGATACACCACATATCATTAGACTGGTATAGAAATCGCATAAAATCATGACTCCACATGACATGATCCACCATGTGACATAACTTGATTGTCTTATGGATTCTTGTCTCTATATATACTTCAAGTTGTATGAGGATAGTTTGATAGTTTTCTTGGGCACTGGATTTGCTCAGTAAAATGTAATAAATCCTGTGCCTCAAAAGTAATAGTGTTTTATGTACAAAATGTAGTTCTCATGGGAGCTTTCTGTGTTTCACATCAGATATAGTCGCCTTGCAGAGAGACCAGTGGAATGCCATCAGTGATGAACTGTTTAAGACTGTTGAAGAAAAGAGGAAAGTGAGCAACATTGACACCTTATTCAAGAACAAACTGACCATAGCTCTGGGAGGTGGTCCAGATCAGAAGATGAGAGAATGCAAGAGTAAGACAAACCTTTTCCCGTCAGTCTTAAACTTAATAATTAATTAGTTATTTTCTTTCATCTCATAATTTGCTTGCAAAAGTAAACATGAATTGAGAAAAACATACTCTCAAGATTTAAGAAAGAGGCTTTAAGATTAAAACGCGTTGTAATATATACCCAGTCATAAATCCAATAGGTCAATATAAAGCATGGAAGGAGATGAGACTGTTGATGGAAAAGTATGTCTGAAGGTTGTAGGAAAAAAAGTCATAGGAAAAACTCAACAATAAGCTCAACAAAAAGTTAGTTTTGATAATGTATTTATTCAACAAGTCATAATGATATTATCATCAATAGCACTACATACATTTCTCTGAGCCACATTTAAACCTAACTTATAAAATTAATGTAATTACTCAAGTGTAATACGTGACATCATAGAATAAACAGATCATCTGCAATAGCAGTACATCAAAGCTCAAAGCCAGTGAAACAAACAATCAAATGACTTGTGACTTTTAATCCCATAATAATAATAATAAAAAATGGATATTTCTTATGCGCCATAGTCCATCCAGAGCATGCTCAAAGCGCTACATTTAAAAAGAGTCACTAGAGTTCAAGAGGAAGATATGACAATTCGTCAAAATGACCATGAGAATATTTCGCAGTTATAGGTTGTAGACTTTTTTGAAGAGGAAGGTTTTGAGTCCCGATTTGAATGCTTCTAAGGATGAAGCATTTTTTATGGGAGTAGGAAGACTAGCCAGATAGGTTTGGTGTTGGTTAGGGTTGGTGCTGCAAATTTGAATGACCTATGGCCAAAGTGTTTGAGACGAACTTGGGGAACTGAGAGAAGATGTTGATTCTGAGAGCGGACAGAACGGGCAGGCATATATGTTGACAACATCTCAGAGAGGTATGGAGGAGCTAGGCCGTGTTTGCAGCGGAAAACAAGAGTGCAGATCTTGAAATGAATTGCAGACTCTGGAGGATTGGGGTTATGTGAGTCCATTTGGATGTTTTAGTGACAACTCTGGCGGCAGCATTTTGAAGTTTTTGAAGTCTGAAGAGAAGATCATTGGAGATTCCAAACAGTAGGCTATTGCAATAGTCAATCCTGGAGAGAACAAGTGACTGAGTGAGAACTTTAGCTGCATCTGTGGTTACAAGATGGCGGATGTTACCAATAGAGTGGAGATGGAAGTAGCCTACTCTACAAAGATGGTTGACATGTTGCTCCATGGTGAGACAAGGATCAAGATAAACACCTAGGTTTTTTACACTGAATGAAAGTGGGATATCTGAGTTGGCTACTGTGATGTCCGTAGAGTTTATCCTTTTCAGACGTTGCGATGTGCCAATCAACATAGCCTCAGTCTTATCATTATTGAGCTTCAGCTCATTTGTCATCATCCATGAACTAATTGCCTTCGTGCACTGCCTTACTCTTGATCTGGCTATTTGTACATCCTCTGGTTTGAAGGAATCCATCAATTGGAGGTCGTCTGCAAATGCGTGGTGATTCACATCAAAGTTATCAATGACCTTCTCCAACTGGTTTGTGTATAACACAAAGAGAAGCGGCCCAAGGACTGAGCCCTGGGGTACACCACACTCTAGGATCGTTGACTCAGACATGCTTTCAGAGACAAGAACTGACTGACTCCTTGTGCTCAGATAGGAACGGAACCAGGCCAATGCATCCCCTTGTATGTTATAGTCATCCTGAAGACGGCTAAGGAGCTTCTGATGGTTGACCGTGTCGAAAGCCGCTGAGAGATCAAGCAAGAGGAGAAGTGACACATTACCCAAGTCCGCATGGCATCTCAGGTTATTCAGAATTTGAAGTAAGGCGGTCTCAGTACTGTGCCTAGGACGATAGGCTGATTGGAATCTGTTCAGAAAATCATTTGAAGAGAGATAGGATCTGAGTCCGACATCAACTGCACGTTCAAATATCTTGGAAAGGAAAGAAAGGTTGGAGACAGGTCTATAATCCTTTAAGAACTAAATAACGTATAATATGTTCATTTGTCCTGTTTTGATAAGGCAATTTGTTGGGGCTCGGTGTCGCAGTGTTCTCCAGTTATTTACTTTGTTTATACTGCATTATACTGTATTTTATGAACACTATTTCACTTTCATACTATAGATGAAAGTGAAATAGTGTTCATAAAATACAGTATAATGCAGTATAAACAAAGTAAATAACTGGAGAACAGGATGTTTTATACTAGTTATGTTTTTCCTGTGACTTTTTTTCCGATCACCTGCCTGAATGTCCGCAGCATCCAGAACTCATCGTCAGATCCTGCTTAAATGGAGATTGGATGGTTCCTATGTGTAAGCTAGTTGATAGTGCGCTGCTAGTTTGGATTGGCTGTATTGCCAATCATAGGCTGTCAGGTCTAGACTCCATGCAGGTGTCATGGGAAGGAATATTGCTGACTACACTCTTCACCAGCATTCACTCATGTTTGATCCTGAGTTCAGAGAACAGTTTGATAATTTCAGAGTGAATAGCAGATTTAGACAGTGTGCACAGCGGTGTTTCTGTTAATGCTTCAATAAAAGCGAAAATATGTTGAAGTTGAATCTTATAAATTAATAAGTCAGCATCAATAGCTTCATGCGGGGACATTGTTTAGTGCAATACTGCACCACAGTCCCCCATGTCTGTATTAATGCTGTTGGAAACAGCAAGTGTGTTGTCTGCCTTTGTAATTGCTTTATCTACCAGTGTATATGCAAATAAATGATGTATGGTGTATAATTTACAACTGGTGACAGACGACAACGAGGCTGACCACCGGATGTCTGTGAAGGATTTAGGGCAGTGCTACATCCACATAGGTCTGGCTGAGGTGCACAGAGGGAATGCTGACAAGGCCAGCGTGGCCTACCAGGAGGCCTTGACCATCGCCCGGGAGGAAGGTAGGACTTTGTCACTAGCCATGTCAGGGGGAAACATACTCGCTTGTTAGGACTTTAGTGGTTTAGTAACATCACTGTGGTGAATCTTGTATCATCTAGTAAAATCACTGTGGTCTAAAGGATTCATACAACTGCATGCATGTGAAATATTAATAAATGTGTAAAGATGTGACAAAACCCTTTCCATATTCATAAGAACTCCCTGCTAAAAGCAAGGTCAGTTGTATTGTTGCTATAGCATATGTCCATGAAGCGCTATCAAACATAACACCACCATGTGTTTATGAAAGGTAAGAGTAAATTGTCCCACCAGTGGCACCCGTCACAAGCATGTGCAAACACAAGTCAGTTGTTCAGCTGAAACATGTGGTTCAAAGTTAAACTAGGGAACTGCATCAGACATAAGTTTTGATATGGACTTGTCCTCGTCAGGGTTATCCCTGTAAAGTAGCTGCCTGATATATTACACTCAAACCTAAACACATGCATTCATATCTGTGAATGGTAAGAAGTAGCAGTAACTTTAACCTCTGTCTGCTGATTTGGTTAAAACTTTTCCTATCTTCACTCTTACGCAAAACATGCTTAGAAAAATGTCTTACATGTAACTCGTCACTGTATTCATTACTTCTTGCTCGCAGGCTACATGTAACTCCTCACTGTATTCATTACTTCTTGCTGGCAGGCTACATGTAACTCGTCCACTGTATTCATTACTTCTTGCTGGCAGGCTACATGTAACTCCTCACTGTATTCATTACTTCTTGCTGGCAGGCTACATGTAACTCCTCACTGTATTCATTACTTCTTGCTGGCAGGCTACATGTAACTCCTCACTGTATTCATTACTTCTTGCTGGCAGGCTACATGTAACTCGTCACTGTATTCATTACTTCTTGCTGGCAGGCTACATGTAACTCGTCACTGTATTCATTACTTCTTGCTGGCAGGCTACATGTAACTCCTCACTGTATTCATTACTTCTTGCTGGCAGGCTACATGTAACTCCTCACTGTATTCATTACTTCTTGCTGGCAGGCTACATGTAACTCGTCACTGTATTCATTACTTCTTGCTGGCAGGCTACATGTAACTCCTCACTGTATTCATTACTTCTTGCTGGCAGGCTACATGTAACTCCCCACTGTATTCATTACTTCTTGCTGGCAGGCTACATGTAACTCCTCACTGTATTCATTACTTCTTGCTGGCAGGCTACATGTAACTTCGTCACTGTATTCATTTCACTTCTTGCTGGCAGGCTACATGTAACTCCTCACTGTATTCATTACTTCTTGCTGGCAGGCTACATGTAACTCCTCACTGTATTCATTACTTCTTGCTGGCAGGCTACATGTAACTCCCCACTGTATTCATTACTTCTTGCTGGCAGGCTACATGTAACTCCCCACTGTATTCATTACTTCTTGCTGGCAGGCTACATGTCACTCCTCACTGTATTCATTACTTCTTGCTGGCAGGCTACATGTAACTCCTCACTGTATTCATTACTTCTTCCTGGCAGGCTACATGTAACTCCTCACTGTATTCATTACTTCTTGCTGGCAGGCTACATGTAACTCCCACTGTATTCATTACTTCTTGCTGACAGGCTACATGTAACTCCCACACTGTATTCATTACTTCTTGCTGGCAGGCTACATGTAACTCCTCACTGTATTCATTACTTCTTGCTGGCAGGCTACATGTAACTCCTCACTGTATTCATTACTTCTTGCTGGCAGGCTACATGTAACTCCTCACTGTATTCATTACTTCTTGCTGGCAGGGCTACATGTAACTCCTCACTGTATTCATTACTTGCTGGCTGGCTACATGTAACTCGCTACATGTAACTCATGTAACTCGCCACTGTATTCATTACTTCTTGCTGGCAGGCTACATGTAACTCCTCACTGTATTCATTACTTCTTGCTGGCAGGCTACATGTAACTCCTCACTGTATTCATTACTTCTTGCTGGCAGGCTACATGTAACTCCTCACTGTATTCATTACTTCTTGCTGGCAGGCTACATGTAACTCGTCACTGTATTCATTACTTGCTGGCAGGCTTGCTGTATTCATTACTTCTTGCTGGCAGGCTACATGTAACTCCGTCACTGTATTCATTACTTCTTGCTGGCAGGCTACATGTAACTCCTCACTGTATTCATTACTTCTTGCTGGCAGGCTACATGTAACTCGTCACTGTATTCATTACTTCTTGCTGGCAGGCTACATGTAACTCGTCACTGTATTCATTACTTCTTGCTGGCAGGCTACATGTAACTCCTCACTGTATTCATTACTTCTTGCTGGCAGGCTACATGTAACTCCTCACTGTATTCATTACTTCTTGCTGGCAGGCTACATGTAACTCCCTCACTGTATTCATTACTTCTTGCTGGCAGGCTACATGTAACTCCTCACTGTATTCATTACTTCTTGCTGGCAGGCTACATGTAACTCCTCACTGTATTCATTACTTCTTGCTGGCAGGCTACATGTAACTCCTCACTGTATTCATTACTTCTTGCTGGCAGGCTACATGTAACTCCTCACTGTATTCATTACTTCTTGCTGGCAGGCTACATGTAACTCCTCACTGTATTCATTACTTCTTGCTGGCAGGCTACATGTAACTCCTCACTGTATTCATTATTACTTGCTGGCAGGCTACTCCTCACTGTAACTTCCTCACTGTATTCATGTATTCATTACTTCTTGCTGGCATACATGTAACTCATTTGTAACTCCTCACTGTATTCATTACTTGCTGGCAGGCTACATGTAACTCCTCACTGTATTCATCATTACTTCTTGCTGGCAGGCTACATGTAACTCGTCACTGTATTCATTACTTCTTGCTGGCAGGCTACATGTAACTCCTCACTGTATTCATTACTTCTTGCTGGCAGGCTACATGTAACTCCTCACTGTATTCATTACTTCTTGCTGGCAGGCTACATGTAACTCCTCACTGTATTCATTACTTCTTGCTGGCAGGCTACATGTAACTCCTCACTGTATTCATTACTTCTTGCTGGCAGGCTACATGTAACTCCTCACTGTATTCATTACTTCTTGCTGGCAGGCTACATGTAACTCCCTCACTGTATTCATTACTTCTTGCTGGCAGGCTACATGTAACTCCTCACTGTATTCATTACTTCTTGCTGGCAGGCTACATGTAACTCCTCACTGTATTCATTACTTCTTGCTGGCAGGCTACATGTAACTCCTCACTGTATTCATTACTTCTTGCTGGCAGGCTACATGTAACTCCTCACTGTATTCATTACTTCTTGCTGGCAGGCTACATGTAACTCCTCACTGTATTCATTACTTCTTGCTGGCAGGCTACATGTAACTCCTCACTGTATTCATTACTTCTTGCTGGCTACATACATGTAACTCCTCACTGTATTCATTACTTCTTGCTGGCAGGCTACATGTAACTCCTCACTGTATTCATTACTTCTTGCTGGCAGGGCTACATGTAACTCGTCACTGTATTCATTACTTCTTTGCATGGCTGGCGGGCTACATGTAACTCCTCACTGTATTCATTACTTCTTGCTGGCAGGCTACATGTAACTCCGTCACTGTATTCATTACTTCTTGCTGGCAGGCTACATGTAACTTCGTCACTGTATTCATTACTTCTTGCTGGCAGGCTACATGTAACTCCTCACTGTATTCATTACTTCTTGCTGGCGGGCTACATGTAACTCCTCACTGTATTCATTACTTCTTGCTGGCAGGCTACATGTAACTTCGTCACTGTATTCATTACTTCTTGCTGGCAGGCTACATGTAACTCCTCACTGTATTCATTACTTCTTGCTGGCAGGCTACATGTAACTCCTCACTGTATTCATTACTTCTTGCTGGCAGGCTACATGTAACTCGTCACTGTATTCATTACTTCTTGCTGGCAGGCTACATGTAACTTCGTCACTGTATTCATTACTTCTTGCTGGCAGGCTACATGTAACTCCTCACTGTATTCATTACTTCTTGCTGGCAGGCTACATGTAACTCCTCACTGTATTCATTACTTCTTGCTGGCAGGCTACATGTAACTCCTCACTGTATTCATTACTTCTTGCTGGTAGGCTACATGTAACTCCTCACTGTATTCATTACTTCTTCCTGGCAGGCTACATGTAACTCCTCACTGTATTCATTACTTCTTGCTGGCAGGCTACATGTAACTCCCCACTGTATTCATTACTTCTTGCTGGTAGGCTACATGTAACTCCCCACTGTATTCATTACTTCTTGCTGGCAGGCTACATGTAACTCCTCACTGTATTCATTACTTCTTGCTGGAAGGCTACATGTAACTCGTCACTGTATTCATTACTTCTTGCTGGCAGGCTACATGTAATCATGTTGTTTGTTATGTTTGCAGATAGCAAGGAGCTGCTGTGGTCTGCTCTGGAGGGGCTTGGTGTGGTGGAGAATATGAAGGACCACAAGGACGAGGCAGTCATGTACTTCAAAACTGCCCTGGAAATACTTGACAACGAGTGGTCAACAACTGCAGTCACCTCTGTCCAAGATCGTCTAACAGCCCGGATGGCTACTTTGGGCTATGGGGATGAAAGTGACAATCTCACACTGCTTGGAGAGTGAAGCCCTGATGTTTATTCTGCTCAGTCTGTACTTGTGTGGGTATCTCACTGTTTACAGTTGTATTATTACTGCGTATGGTTTCATACATCAGCTATTTTCACTCAGTCCTTCCTACAGCCAAGGTCAATGCTTACACTCAAAAAATCTTAGCTCCAGATTTGATCACATGCAGCAGACAGGGCTTGACGTCATAGAAATGCACATTCACTTTGATTTCATGTTGTTATCAACAAAGATATGTGAATAATTTTCGAACTTAATTTTTATAAACTATTCAGATGAAATTATTTTCTCAAATTTCAAGTAACCTTCCTGGTGCTGTGTGGAGAAGGCTGTAACCAAGAGGCTTCACAAGTCCACCCCAGCACAGGGTAGACCACATGAATCTGCTCAATGAGTATTTTCTGTATATAAAGAGACAGTCATCACACATGCATGCATCAGTTTCTGGGTTCTTGATTTCAGAGATATGAGTTGAATTACTCTTGATCCATCAATGTAGGCTAATCGTTTAAATCTGAATCTATGGCCTTTAAACAAACCCACTTTTGACAGACCTATTTTCCAACAATGACATAATATTTTTAGGTTATTCATATATAGTTGTGGCACCACGAGACAGTTGGAGAAAGAAACCACATGTACTTGTTGAGATTATTTCAGTTAAAATGTATTTGTAGATATATACTGAAATGTTTTTAAACTTTGAGACATGTTTGCATTCATGTGTACAATACTGGCACATAATGTATCCCTTCAGCAAATGTTCATACTCAAACCTTGCAAGAATGCTCATTGTGGATTCACTGGTATATTTATTACAGGTATTTATCAATTTTACTTCTAGTATTGTACATGCTGAATAAGTGTCTAAATCTTGTGTGTGGCTACACATGTTCATGTACGTAGTGTCCAACAGATGTGACCTTGTATTTGTACATATCTTTGTATCAAACCATTAAATGACTTCTAACATATTTGTTGTTGAATTTACATGTTGCCAATACTTATTGAGATCCTGCAAACGCAGGATGTTATGACAAGGAAACAGGGTACACAGAGGACAATATGACAAGGAAACAAGGGTAAACAGAGGACAATATGACAAGGAAACAAGGTAAACAGAGGACAATATAACAAGGAAACAAGGTACACAGAGGACAATATGACAAGGAAACACAGGGTACACAGAGGACAATATGACAAGGAAACACAGGGTACACAGAGGACAATATGACAAGGAAACACAACAAAGGTACACAGAGGAAATACAGGGTAGACAAGGAAACAGGGTACACAGAGGACAATACAGAGGGTGCAATATGACAAGGAAACACAGGGTACACAGAGGACAATATGACAAGGAAACACAGGGTACACAGAGGACAATATGACAAGGAAACACAGGGGGTAGAGGACAATATGACAAGGAAACACAGGGTACAGGGACAATATGACAAGGACAATATGACAATATGAAACACAGGGTACACAGAGGACAATATGACAATGAAACAGGGTACACAGAGGACAATATAACAAGGAAACAGGGTACACAGAGGACAATATGACAAGGAAACACAGGGTACACAGAGGACAATATAACAAGGAAACACAGGGTACACAGAGGACAATATAACAAGGAAACAAGGTACACAGAGGACAATATAACAAGGAAACACAGGGTACACAGAGGACAATATAACAAGGAAACACAGGGTACACAGAGGACAATATGACAAGGAAACACAGGGTACACAGAGGACAATATAACAAGGAAACACAGGGTAGACAGGGACAATATAACAAGGAAACACAGGGTACACAGAGGACAATATAACAAGGAAACACAGGGTACACAGAGGACAATATAACAAGGAAACAGGATACACAGAGGACAATGTAACAAGGAAACACAGGGTAGACAGGACAATATAACAAGGAAACACAGGGTAGACAGGACAATATAACAAGGAAACAGGGTACACAGAGGACAATATAACAAGGAAACAGGGTAGACAGGACAATATAACAAGGAAACAGGGTAGAAAGAGGACAATATAACAAGGAAACGGTAGACAGCACAATATGACAAGGAAACACAGGGTAGACAGGACAATATAACAAGGAAACACATGGTAGACAGGACAATATGACAAGGAAACACAAGGTAAACAGAGGACAATATAACAAGGAAACACAGGGTAGACAGAGGACAATATAACAAGGAAACAGGGTACACAGAGGACAATATAACAAGGAAACACAGGGTAGACAGAGGACAATATGACAAGGAAACACAGGGTAGACAGGACAATATAACAAGGAAACAGGGTAGACAGGACAATATAACAATGAAACACAGGGTAGACAGGACAATATGACAAGGAAACACAGGGTAGACACAGGCTATTATAGCACAGGGTACACAGAGGATGGTGTGACACAGGGTACACAGAGGATGTTATAACACAGGGTACACAGAGGATGTTATAACACAGGGTACACAGGATATTATGACACAGAAACACTGGGTACACAGGATATTATAGCAGAAACACAGGGTACGCAGAGGATATTATGACACAGAAACACAGGGTACACAGGATATTATAACACAGATACACAGGGGATGTGACGACACAGGGTACACAGAGGATGTTATAACACAGAGGATGTTATGACACAGAAACACTGGGTACACAGAGGATGTTATAACACAGAAAACAAAGGGTACACAGGATGTTTGAACGCAGGGTACACAGGATGTTATGACACGGAAAAACGGGGTACTCGAAGGATGTTATGACACAGGGTACACAGAGGATGTTATGACATAGGGTACACAGAGGATGTTATGACACGGAAACACAGGGTACACACAGGATGTTATAACACAGGGTACACAGGATGTTATGACACAGGGTACACAGTGGATGTTATGACACAAGGTACACAGAGGATGTTATGACACAGGGTACACGAAGGGGTGTTATGACACAGGGTACACAGGGATGTTATAACACAGGGTACACACAGGATGTTATGATACAGGGTACACAGGGGATATTATGACACGGAAACACAGGGTACACAGGATATTATGACACAGGGTACACAGAGGATGTGACGACACAGGGTACACAGAGGATGTTATAACACAGGGTACACAGAGGATGTGACGACACAGGGTACACAGAGGATGTGACGACACAGGGTACACAGAGGATGTTATGGCACAGAAACACGGGGTACACAGAGGATGTTACGACACAGGGTACACAGGGGATATTATGACGCGGAAACACAGGGTACACAGGATATTACAACACAGGTTACACAGAGGATGTGACGACACAGGGTACGCAGAGGATGTTATGACACAGGGTACGCAGAGGACAATATGACGGAAATATAGGGTACAAAGAAGACATTGTCACACAGAGACAAAGCTTTAATATGACACTGTCACACTTCATTTGGTAACAGCGACTTGGGCAGCGAAAATACTCGTAAAAGACCGCCTCCGTGGTGTAGTGGTTAGAGCGTCCGCCCGGAGAGCGGAAGGTCGCGGGTTCGATCCCCGAACGTCATACCAAAAGACGTTAAAATATGGTACTTGTTGGTCCCTGCCTGGCGCTCGGCATTAATGGGTACAACAAGGACTGGTCGGCTCGGAGTCAGTATAATGTCTCTGAGTGGGATAGTCATGCTTCACTGCGGCATGGTATCTCAGTGGGCTAGCACTATAAAACCAGCTTCAGTCTGGGCTAGTACAAGCAGCCGCACATACACACACATGCACGTCGTCATATGAGCGAAATATTCTCAAGCACGACGTTAAACCCAATTTCACCTCACCTCACTTGTTAGCAAAATTTATTACGCATACATATGACGTGAAAGGTAGTTTTGGGCATCTGAATCGATGAGGCTCGAAAAAGATCTAATCAAGTATTACATCTTTAGTTAAAAAATGGATTGTAATATTCAGAGCAAAGAAGTCGTTGTTGGTTATGGTAGTTCATAAAAGGTACTATTGGAGAGATGTTGAAGGACAATACAGTGAACTAAAGCACAGTGTGAGTAGAAGATCCAGAAATACGTCGGTGATATACAAGTTAATGTAAGACCTGTAAAGCTTAATCGCATCTAAAATGAAGGCCATGGCAAGAAAGGAAAGATTTATTATTTGAACGAACAATATGAAGATTGGCATTCTTTATTTCGAAAAAGTCTATTTACGAAGTTTATTCGCCAAGGATCTGTTTAGTACATTAAGGCTTTGAAGCAAATACAGTTTAATCTCTGTAATTTGACTCGTGAACATCGTTCAACTTTTTGGGGATACAATGACATACATCAACAACTTGATATCGGTAACCGCCTCCTCCGACAGACACGACCGTGTTGCTGAAGTCAATTGTCAAGCTCTTCTGACGGGTATAATCAGGTAACGTGTACTTATCTTAAGAGAAAGCATCAGTGGTAAGCCTATGTAATTTGGTTAATTGCGTGTTGGCTTTGAACGGGACTCATAATATCAGTCACTGGTTTAGTCCAGTAGCCCAGACACTGCTGACTGCATTAGACAAAAACACAAAACAGTCATAAATCAACATGCCAGAAAATTTATTTTATCTAAATATTTTGCTTTGTTTGTTTTAGATTTTTTGGGTATGTTTATTTTTGGGGGTAGATATTCCGCTTGTATCAAACAGAATGGATAGTCCTTGGTTCCTCGGTTAACGGGGATTTACGGTTTACATCTGTTGGAATACGTGCTTACCAAAGAGTTTCGTTGATTAAGAGTTTGCACTAAAAGGTGTCAGAAAGTATGCGTAGGCCTCGTAGGTGGCAAACCCAGTCATCTGCACGCCGAACGTACACGTCGGTGACCTGCTCTTGATTTCCGTCAGATTGTCGTTGGCTGAAATTGTTGTCACGGAGAACTGACGTGATCCAGCTTTGAAAGAAGTCCAATTGGCCTTGACCCCGATGTCCGGGATGCATTCAGATTCTGTGATGATGGTGGCGTTAAGGTTGAAATGTCTTCCTGCCGCCTGGATGTCGGGTATGACGTACTGTGACGTATATTCTGTGACGGGAGGGACGAGGGAGCCGAATACGTCATAACCCTGGTCGTTGCCAGCAATCTGGGACACCAGGATTGACTTGGAGGCCGAGATGAAGACATTGTCGTCGGTGGAATGGTCTTCTTGGTGAACCTGTCTTTCACCAAGTACAAATGACGTGGTTGTTTTCCCATATATGGTAACGTTCGTGTCATTATGGGCTGCTACAATGCGAATATTGTACTTGTCCATGTTAATCACCTGTGGTATTATGTATTCACGCCCCCACTGCGATAGCGGTCGTACCTGATTCAGAACGTGATCACCATGGTCACCCGGATATAGAAGTATCACTCCGCCGGAATATAAAGCTACCGGTTTACTACTTTTGATATGTGTACCTCCGAGGGTACAATACACTCCCTTCCCTGACTGAAGAGACGCCACTTGGTACACATCTCGGGCATTCAGTACTTTAGACCCTCCGTTACCGAAAAAGGGACAGTTAGATTTAATGTCAACACTGACCGACGTGTTATTCTCTATAGCAACGACCCCAAGCATGGCGTTGTTAGGGACGGATGGGATGATGTACTCGGGCTGCATGTCAAGTGATCTGGTGGGAAGGATGTAAAAGGCAGATGCTGCTCCAACATCCTGGTCCCTGGTGCTCATGCCGTATAGCTGGACATTTTCGGTACACTGGACAAATATGGCCCTCTTCTGAACGTACATTCCGAGATTGTAGAATTTACCGCCAGGCAGATCGAACTGTGTGAAAGCATCCTTGGTCTGGTTGAGTGTAACTTTGATGGACATTCCCGTCGTCGTCTGTGACCGAGCAGGTGCCCCCTGACTGACTTCGAAAATACAGGTGTCCAGTCACCGATCTGCCGTAGAGGCTCACGTAGTTTGGAAAAAACGCTACAGTAAATGTTTTGCCTTCATAATCGAGTCTGCCTGAAACGATGAAAAGCAAAACAGACATGCTGTAGTATATCACAATGTATACCTCCGTATATATCAACTGTTTGTCACATAGTTGGTCTTTCACATTGTTAGTGTCCATAAGATATGTTTAAGTGCCAAGTTCCACCCAACTTCCTGAATATTTAGAAAAAATCCATGTTTATGTTTCATGATTTGAATTTTACGCTCATCTTAAATGAATTTTATTTGTATCATGGCGTGTACACTGGGCGAGTTGACTCCCTAGGGATGCATTCCCCAGACCTTTAAACCTTTGCTGAAACCCCCCAGTAAGGTGCACACTCACTGGGCGAGATGACTCCCTAGGGATGCATGCCCCAGACCTTTAACCCTTTGCTGAAACCCCCCAGTATGGCTATGGTGTCGCCAAACCAAGAATCATAATCAGGTAGATTCAAGATTCGAATCTCCATTGGCATCCTGGCATTGGTAGGGGACGCAACTTTCCAGATCTTAGTGTGTCGGTTTCGATACTAGGCTGACACCGCCCTTACGGTTAACTCAAATTCAAGATTACGTAAAAGTCAATTATATCTAAGACTTCTTACTTCTATAATCATTTTTTTCCAGATATTTTATCAGTGCAAATGTTCATATGTGAAAGAGCACACAGTCAACGTTTCCTACCTTCAACCTGTAGTAGAGGGAGGGCAAGGATGATATAGCAAATGAACATATTGAAGGCTTCTACAACACACACCTTGCACCATGTAATACTACTGTAATGCTGATAATATGGGAAGTTGCATATGTTCGACCTATATGCTACACTTGCTATATGACACAAAGAAACGGACCGTGGACTTTGGCTTCAGTCTTATCACAATACACTTGGCCATGGCTTCACTATATAGTGTTGCGGACTTGAACGATCTCTTTACAAACTTGGAAGTTGTGATCGGGATACTATACCTAACTCTATCTTTGAGATCTTATATATTTTGGTTTTGGATCATTTTGTTTCTCTCATATTTTTTATATATTTTGTCTTCTGTTTTGTTGTCAGTTTGGGGTATCTGACATTAGTTTTGTTGATGACAGGATGACACCTTGGTTTGTTTGTTTGTTTGTTCAAAGACGCACTCCGCGATACGTCAGTTACATGACGGCTGTCTGTAAATAACTGAACCAGATTGACGTAGTGAACATCAGTCAACGGGCACGATGCACCAGTCAGCGAGCAATACCCCTTGATCCCGTTAATCGTATGTTGACACAACCAGTTTCTTACCAAATCTAAACCCGACATTCAGGGTGTCATGTTATCGTGGACATCAAATTTAATCATTTTACACACATTGTTTATTGAACGCAAATATCGATCTTGAAATACCTCGAGTTAGTGATATGTAATCACGGCTAACGGCCTCACGGTAAACACGCAGCTGACGTATATCAAGAGCCCCTGATCACATACGCGCTACAACGGGGACAGGAGGTAAAACTGACTGTGCCAATATGATATATTACAGTTCAGAAGCTCATAATACAACGAATGTATTACCTCGCTTAACGCAAGGGGGCCCGCAACAGGCAATACTGTAGCCGGCAGTACCATGCTTAGTCTGCCTGTTTGGACTGCTGTCTTAAATATGGGGATATAACTGCGGCTGCCCGAAGACAGTAACTATACATGTGGAGAGTGCTTTAACAGGTTGTGTAACTTTAATGTTGGCAGTGAAGTGTTTGTTTCTCTAAATCAACAAACATCGGCGTTTGATCTTGTTGTCACAGGTCATGACGACAAGGTGTTCTAGATATGTGGAGAGTTTGAGAGATTTAACCCTCAGCGTTATATTCAATAGAAGTAGGAAACAGTAATTATTCAACAGTGTTGTTTTGTGAACGCTTTCAGTCCGGTACACGTTATCCACGTAGCCTTATGGTGTAATTCATTTGCAACGTCTTCAATGACATAAACACCGACGTCATGCCGCTGCTGATTAATACACGTGCTGAGAAAGTTAGACGACTCTGCCAGGAAGGGAGTAAAAAGGACGTTCCAGAACAAATTGAACTCTTTACAAAGGCGCTAGCTGAAGCAAAACAACTTAGCTCAAACAGAGAGCAAAACGTTTGTATATGTCGTCTTAACCTTGCCACAGCGTACGTCCACAGTGCTGACAGCATCCGGAAAGGTATAGACATGTTGACGGCCATGACAACAGAGGCGGAGACACATCACCCCGCCATCCTTGGAGACATATATTATTACAAAGCTGTGGGGATGATGCGTGTGAAGGGGAATGGAGACTTTACACACAGAGAGTCAGATGCTATCCTAGATGCTCTGTATCGCGCTAAGCACTATGATGACAGTAGTGACTCAGATACACCTCTGAAGAAACACATCCTGAAATCTCTACTGCGTTTCGAACGCAGAGACAGCGAGCGTTGTGAACTCCTGAAACAAAAGATTCTCGCGTTCCGACAGGACAAGGAGTCAGCAGATGAGGACACCGTGCTTCAGATGGTGTGTGAATTGATGAACCTGTTGTTGAAACGTGACCCATCGGAAGCTAAAAAGGATGGACCGCTCTATATGGCCGTTATTCCTGAAGACAGTTGTAAGTATGTAGCTGACTTCCATTAAAATTTAACTCTGTTTGGGAACCGTTTGCATGATTTGGATCGACATAAAGATATGTGTCTATGTGGGCATGATTAACCCCGAAGATTGGTAACCTGTACTCGTTGCTATGAACTATACCGTCTGAATGACCGGAATGTCTCAGAGTAAACGGGTTTAATATAGGTCAAAATGAAGAGTAGTGATAGGCAGACTTTTGGGACAGAGGTTCATGCAAGCATTTATGAGAAGTTAAGAAAGAGGCTTATACTATTAGAGATACCCAGCTTAGAAATGATAAGATGAATAGTGACGGGTGAATTCCAAAAGTTTACAAAACAAAACAAATGAATGCAAAATAACTACAGTGACGGTTCACAATAGAGTTGCAGTAGAATTGCAATGGCAGTACCAAATAAAATAACAGGGATGATAGCAGTGAAGTTAATAACAATATTATTTACCTAGAAACAACAGTGGTTAAACTTCTTAAGTCCAGGGTGAAAGTATGATCTTCAAACAACCGATGGTCGTCATATAATTTGAAATGATAGATACTTGCGCTTGCTTGTCTTATAGTCTTGAAATGCTTCCAGAAAATTCTATACGATGCCGGATTTTCCGGCTGTTCTAGAAGATTCCAAATGACCCTTGATCCCAAAAGTATTTAAATATAGTGACATACACACTAGTGAGCACTACAGTTGTAGAAACAATGTAGTAACCTATCAATGACTAACAATGTCATATAACAACTGTTTGTCAATCAAACCACACTGTATGATGCTGTAACAATAGCATGTCGAACTATGAGTGTCAGTGGTTAATACCTGATGAACATATGCAACAACACTGACATGGTTCATTCCTTATGAATAAAGGTGACAAAATCTCAACGACAACCTGGTGTGACCTTGGACTTATCTCCACCCAAATACAAGAATACGGAAAGGCTGTGAGGTACTTCGAAAGATCTCATCATAAACTTCAGAAGTCTGACTTATGTAAGGACCTACCACAGCAATGTCTGCAGATGCGCCACAACATAGCAGCCGTGAATCTTCTACAGAAAGACTTCACGACAGCAATCAGTACATACGCAGGTACAGGTAGATTCCATAATCATCAGTCGAATAAGTCTAGAATGCAAAGGTTACGGTGAACGAAATGTCTTCATGGAAGATGAGTAGGGAATTACTGTTTTTTTTCTTTCCAATGTCACAGGCGAAGATGGCGAGAAAAGTCTCGATGATCTCCGAGAGGAGATCCAGGACAAGGATCTATTGTCCCATGCCTACTTAAACTTGGCCTTTGGGTATCTGCGACAGCGGTTCCCGGAGGACTCTTTGGGGCAGGAGAAAGCCCTGCAGCTTGCCTACACAAACTACAAGAATGCTCTGGACATACAGACTGAAACTGGTCAGTACCACCGTGTTTGAGCCATTCAGTAATGTTCAAGGTCTAATAAGTATGACATGCAGTGACTCCTAATTTCCAGTAACCCATGGGTATGGACTGGCTCTTCATAGATATATATATATTATTTTACAGTATATAGTGTATAAAATGTGCACAGTCCATGTTACACACAAAATGGTACATGTTGATGTCTGTGGCCTGCACAACTGCTCCCAGGCACCAGTCCTGATATTCCCATTATCACCATTGGTTCGTCAGCACCATGTACGTATACCTGGCCGTGGGTTTCACGAAAATTGGTGACTATGGCCTCATGCAATCTGGGATGTCTTCCTACTTTCCTGAATTCCCTATTAAACCTCGTTCTCTCACTCATTCAATCATCATCATCATGATCAAGCATCATCATCATCATCATCATCATCATCATCAACTGGACCCCTGAATATCCGGGTTAGAATGGTCATGGTCTCACTGACTTGGTTGACTTATGTCTTCGTATCCCAATTGCATACATCGAGGCTCATGATTGTCTGGTCCAAATTCGATAATTTACAGACCGCTGCCATATAGCTGGAATATTGCTTAGTGCGGCGTTAAACAAACAAACAATTTAGAACTGTTCTATTTCCGTTGAGCAGGAGACATGGACGGGGCACGCAAGTCCCTGGAGGGTTTGGCCGCCACAGTACTGACGTTGAAGAAGTCGGTGAAGACCTTGGAGTGGCTGAAGCTGGAACTGGGACTGATGGACTACCAGGCTCCCCAGCTGAAAGTCGGGGAGATAAAGGACAAACTGGAAGCCATGAAAACTGCCCATGACGATCTTGTGAAAGAGACGGAGATGACATTTAATAGTCGAAAAAATTCTGTTCAGGGGAAACATAAGACCGAGAAAAATACAAGTTATGCTAAAACCTTTAATAAGAAACATGACCCTAAAGTGTCTGTTAAGAAGGCAGAATCCAGCTCAGCTGTGACGGAGGACGAATCTAAATCAGCTGGTAAGAATAATGTCGAATATACATCAGCTGGCATGGAGCCAGAATCTCATTCATCTGGTAAAAAGAGCGATTCACCAAACAAAGACATTGACAAGAAATCCCGTAAGAATGTGAAAGACAGAAAACGGGCCCGTGAGGAATTACCAGCATGACAAACGGACTTATATTTGTTGGTGGCTGCAGTATAACGTTTTGATAGGGATTAGTTCTTGAACATTACTTAATGAACCCTTTCCTCTGGAGTCTGCTTTTGTTACAACTCTGTAATACATAGACCATTAGAGGGACAAATAGTTTAATAATAAAAAATATATATATTCATATAGCGCTAATTCCAGTTAGTTTAAACTGCTCAAAAGCGCTTTTGGGCAATGAATTGTCCTGGGGAATATCTACAACAGTTAGTCTATATATGCACGGGGAGTTTGCAGTTCAGGCGTAACATTAGAAGAGGTAGGTTTTCAGGTGTGATTTGAATGTTTCTATGTTCTGAGAAGATCGTAATTCAAAAGAGAGAGAATTCCAAAAGATGTTCGGGCGGAGGGAACTGTCAGTAGGAGTTGGCTATCGGATCGCAATTATCTTGCAGGTTGGTATTTGTGAATAAGTTCGTTGAGTAGGGAGGTTTTTCAGAGTGGTATCCACGGAAAGTTAGAGCCAGTGTTTTGAACTTGATTCTGTCTACAGTCTTAAGACAATGTCGATTCTTCAGTAGAGGGGTGATGTGATCTGATTTTCTAGTTCTGATTAATCGAGCAGCGGAATTCTGGAGTTTGTTGATAAGACGATTTGGGAGGCCATAAAGAAGTGAATTGCAGTAGTCAAGATGAGACATAACACATAACACTTTGTTTAATAAACTCTTTCAAAGTAACACATTCACTGTCACCAATATTTCTGTTGTAGTTTGCTAGTTCCGATGTTTGTCAGCGACAGCATGCTGGGTTCTTTGACATTTAAAAAGACACGTCGTACTAAATACAGAGATATATGATATACTAGAAATATACTTCAGTATTTACGAGGTGAGGTGAGGTGAAATTGGGTTTAACATCGTGCTTGAGAATATTTCGCTCATATGACGACGTGCATGGATGTGTATGTGTATGTGCGGCTGCTTGTACTAGCCCAGACTTAAGCTGGTTTTATCGTGCTAGCCCACTGAGATACCATGCCGCAGTGAAGCATGAATACCCCACTCAGACACATTATACTGACTCCGAGCCGACCAGTCCTTGTTGTACCCATTAATGCCAAGCACCAGGCGGGGACCAACAAGTACCATATTTTAACGTCCTTTGGTATGACGCAGTCGGGAATCGAACCCGCGATCTTCCGCTCTCCGGGCGGACGCTCTAACCACTACACCACGGAGGCGGTCTGATTTACGAGTAGAAAATATGATTTTACACGCTCAGCTCGTATATGTAGTTGATACTATGCCTATTTTCGTCTGAAACATTCCAGAATAAAAACAATGTGTTTCGTTCACTTTACTGTTACTGGTGTTTTTAATTATGATGAACGTATGACAGCCATATAGAATGGTTTGATATCCTGGTGAGTGGGCGTTGTCAGAAATTTGAAAGGGGGATACAGTTGTGTGTAACATGCAGTTGTCCAAGTAAAAGCTTGGTCGACGCGTATTCCTGATTGGGTCGAACCTCGGAGATCTCGAAGTATTTGCTCAGGTTTGTCGTGACGGATGAGTGAGTGAGTGAACTATTCTACATGACTTTGGTCACGACGTGTCTGTTTGCTGTCGGAGAAGCCCGAAGATTGGGTCAGTGTGGTATACAAACAACGGCAGGCTATTATGTTGGAAAGTATCATTATCGTGGTGTGGTGGATCTTAGTTTCGAACTCACAAACATGGGTTTCTAGCATGTCTGTTGGTGGCAATCATCACGCCTCAATCTGCAAGACAGGACCACCCAGTCTCATTATTCGGATGTATTACAAGATCACTGGGACCTAGGGTTGACCCTCCAGCCAGGTATTTTAAAGGTATAAAAGATTTCACATTTGCCTTGCCCTCTCTTGTGTCACACGTTTCCAGGAGAGGTTCCCTGTATCAGCACCTCCACGGTACTACTAGTATTTGTTTTGTTTGTTTACATACACATGCATGTCATCAAAAATGTTTTATTCACACCAATGTTCCTTAAAACGTTTTCTGCCTTTCGTGATTGACTTTGAATAGGTATTTTCCGATTTAACTTGGTTTCTATGTGTCAATGATTCTTAACTACTTGATGCTGCTAAACACAACTTGCGTAAACATAATAAACATACCCAAACATTCCCCGGTGGTATGAGATACCTTCATGATCTATATGAGTGGCGCCCCTTTGCCGTGAAAGGATCCACTAGTTATGGATTCGAACACCAGATTAGTTTCAGTTACAAGTTTACATGTAGGAACCTTGTTTTCAGCGCCAAACAATGTTTAAAGACCCGGTGTCACGCTCCGCTTTGCATCCAAATTGAAGTGAAAGTCCATGACGCCACAAAAATAATGGCAATTTCGTGTCCGCACACTCTGAACAGTCAGCCTGTTTGCTAATGCCAATGACAAACAGTATTAATGGCAAATGAGTATCAACTGTTAGTGACAAATGTGTACAGGAGACACTGAAACACGTCCATGCTCACCACCCTTATGTAGTAGCGTCAGGATGTAGTGATTGTTCTAACAAGAACCACAAAGCCACTGGGGTGTGAGGCGGATGGACTTTTATTACAACGAATGTAATAAACAAAAGCTTTAGCCAGGTTGGTATGACCTGAGCTCCTGCATTCAATGCATAGGTGACACTGCTGGTGTTTACGTCATCTTATATACATGGAAAAAACAGTCCAGATCACCATGATCTCGATCCTAGAGAATATGGACTAAACCGCAACATGCCCGATGACAACCACATAAGATACTGACCAAGAGACTAGATGAAATTAACCTTTAAATACCTAATACCTTATACGCTTGGCTGAACAGAGAACAATAGAACTTACACACTAGTCTGAGCAAGGGACATGCTTTAGAAGGGATTGCAGGGAGAAAAGCATGCAGTGCAAATGAGTATTGCTGAAATAGATTACATTTAAGATTAGATTGATGTTTAGAAGGGCTAAGGGTGTGATATAAAATGTTGAATATAAAATTATTGATAAAATGATTAGACTTAGGTTATTTAATGAGATTGTATATCTCATCATAATGACACACAACTTTAAAAGATTCACATGTTTATTATATTTACAACTATATACAATACAAAGTTGAATCTGCCACACTTACACTTCCCTCTCCGGCCCATAACCACTTAAGAATCAGGACTGCATACGTTATTTAATATTCTGTACGACTCAGGCTACTTTCTCAGGTCTTTATGCTGGAAACATGCTCACTGCCCTTACACTTCCCTCTCCGGCCCCAAATCACTTACGAATATTTTATATTCTGTACGACTCAGATTACTAGTACTTTCTCTTTAGGCTGTCTTTATGCTGGATACACAAGTGGAAGCCAAAACATGCATGCAACACGTTGGTATAACCTGCATTCACACAAAGAAAGCTGATACCCACTCCTCCCCGGCAGCGGTAAATAACGCACATACTATGCAATATTCACAAGAAGTATATTGAACAGCTAAGCGTCTTCAGTACACGTTATATGTAACGCTTCACTGATTACATGATCATAGATATATCAGCGTTTTTCTTTGTTGGTTGTAAATAGAGTGTGCATGAACATTGAATGTATACAAACCAACACACATATCAACAGTGGAACAAGGTGACGTGGTAGTTGCTGCCTGAAGGTATGCAGTGGGCGGACGTGCAGTCATGCATGCGCACTACATTGGGTGTACCAGAATATATTAATACTGTCCCAAAAAAGAAACGCATAGGCGCTTTTGTATTTTAAAAATATATTAATTACCTATTGTGTTCAAACAATCGTCAAAATATATAACCAAAGTGTTGATAACATGATTTTACACAATTGCACAAGTGAAAAGTCGACTTTACCTGAAAATGTTGATTTTGATGAGATTTCTTACAAGAATTAAAAAGGCATCGCCACAACGCAACAGAAATCACCTTCCAGTTGAAATTGTGTAGCAAAGAGCATGCACTGTCTGGGTATAAAAATCCAGATTACCTTCGGCAATCGGCATCCGTTTTGAAGGAGTCTCAAGGTCAAATCACTACGCCAAGTCTTGGCGCTGCGACACGGAACATCGCCATTGAAAGAATGCACGCTGGAGATTACCAATTTTCTGTTGCCAGGCGTCTGAATGTTAGTCTGAGCACGATATCACGGCTTGCAGCTCGTTCCAACCAAACAGGTATAACAAATGACCGTCCCTGTACAGGCAGACCTCGAGTCACCACTGTAAGAGCACAGCAGCCAAGGTGCCTGGACTTCGGAGGATATCCGGTCAAACTGTCCGGACGTGTTGAGAAAGATTGGACTGAGAGCCAGGAGACCCGACGTCGGAACCATGCTACGTAGTCACCATCGCGTTCAACGTCTCCGTTATCTAAAATTATCCACTTGGTTGTATAGACATTGCCTTCTTCTCAACTGATGTAAAAAATCATTTTTTAAAGTCTGTTTGTGGTTATACATGTTTGAAAATACAACATTTTCGCAACAGATTTCTGGGTTATGCGTTTTTTCTTTTGGAATAGTATATTTCGCCTAGAATACTTGCAGCAACGCGCAGCAACTTACGCGTTCAGAATGATAGGCACATTACAAGCATGTTTCCTCCAAATTGTAGTATGTATTCACTGGTACACTACAGGTCCTCTGTAACTTTTGTTTTAAACCTGCATGTTCGATTCTGTTGAATAATGGACAATAGTTACTTTGGCCAGTCGCAGGCAGATGCAGGAATATTGGACCCAGACAAGCGAGTGGTTAATATACTCGCCAACCAACTGTTGCTGCATCTTGTGTTGTGAGAAGGGAATGCTGGTGATATAGTTGACTCAACTGATCAGTCAAAGCCAAATCCCGATAATGTACACCATTTATGAGGGTTCATTAAAGTGACCCATTGCCCGACATTTCAGCGCGGGTCTACTATGAACAATGTTGCCTTATCGGAATGTAGACCTCAGATCACTGAGGTGTAAATCACGTGACCTTATTCAATTGCTGGACACAGTGTAATTTTAGCGTTTCAGTATATTTTATGATGAATATATATAACTTTTTTCACAAGATTTGGTTATTCTGTATACCATCTACAGAGGTACAATCAGATCTTGCAACTAGAACATGGCACTGTGTACATTGTAAATACCAGTTCATGGTGGCATTGGACTGAGTTCAAACACTCGGGCATGTCTATCGAGCAGTGTTTGCAGCTGGGCACGGGTTCTATCAGTGCTGTGACGGGGCCATTGTGAGGACCATAAGTCACCTTTCACGCCATGTCCAGTCACATCTACAGCGCCTTCACGGGTCTTTATGTCCTGCATGTCCCGGCGTGGTTACGATACCCAGCGTCAACAAATGAGACTGCATGTAACACACAATACGGCTCTACTGTCAGGATAACCATAGGTTATATATGTATAGGTTTGAATGGGCACATATATGAATATAGTAGTTCGTCCTTTATGAACTGAGACCAAACAAACCTATTACTAATAATTCTCCTCGCTTAGTCGTACACACCTGTACTGGTGCAGAGATAAGAGGGACCGGGCTACGTTTGGGTGACAGTTGGTCTCGTACTGAGTTATGACGGGTGCTGTTGAGTGTTCAAGAGGGATGTAAGAAAATTTTAGTGTGCACCTATGCAGCAACACTCTTCATTTTCTAGAGGATTCACGAGATCAAATGGTCAA